TGTTTGATACATTAAATGTGTATAATAAATTTAATTAATATAATATATAAATTTGAAATATTGAAAATATTATAAATTATAATATTGAAAATTATAATATATAAAACAGATTTGTATATTTGAAAATTTGTAAATTGAAAATATTGAAAATTATAATATATAATTAATAAAACAGATTTGTATATTTATTTTATACATATATATATTGCCACTAAAACGGGAAACTATAAACGTTCTCTCAAATGAAATTATTCGTCAATCGAGTCATCGCTCCTAGGAGCTTATATATTTTTGCAAGAATAATAATATCCGTATAAACTTGCAGAGATAAAAGTTTCATTTTCATTTCTTAATTCTGCAACTTTGAAACATTTGTCATTGATCGAAAGGATCACATCGCTTCGACTTCTTTTTTTTCGATTACTTGCCAAACGAAAGATGCTGAACTAAAATTCAAGCGATCAAAACTACTTCAATTTTTAAAATGTGCTCTTACAGCGAATTAATATCAGAAGGGATTCAAGTCCTAAGAAATAGGTGATTTCTTTTCTTGCGTTCCTTCGAAAGATCTAGGGGCAAAGATTTTGTCTAAAATGGCCGAGCCGAGCGAACTCGATTTCCTGGTGCTATCAGGGTGCAAGAGGTAGAACCTGATTTCCACGGTAGACCATAGCGCACGGTGCAACATTTTCATCGAACTGCAGCTGTAGCGAAGGGAAAGGGTAAGGGAAAGGGTGGCCGGGAGGAGAGGGTAGCACCGAGCGTCGATGAAAAGGTCAAAGGTTCCAGGTGTGTTTGCGTTTCGTGTACTGGTGTTACAGGTGCAGCCTCTTCCGCGGCTCTGTTCGCCGTTGCATCAGCAACATGTGTGTTCTTTATTAACAACAATTAACATTTATCCATTGTTTAAAAGCTGCTGCGTTGCGTACCGTTTCACGTTTCGATCTGGGAAACGCGTCACCGCGCTGACATTTCGCGGGCGGATTTGTTGCGCCGCGATAGGCCTGTAGGCCTGCGACTGCCCGTAGGCCTAAAAATCCTCGATTATTTATTTCTCCAGAATTTTGCAATGGAACGTAAGTTGCAAAATGAGCTGCTCCGCGTTGTAACCTCGTCGTGGCAGACGTCTGTTACACGCGCGTCTTTCGCCTTATCGTTCCTATCGAAATATTCAATAATAAATTATTTCCTGTTTCACTTATTTCATCGTTCACTTTCTTTCGACGCGCCGTGTGGCGTTCATTGAAATTATTAGTAAATTAAATTAACTTACATATTAAATCAATTTTTTTAATATCAAAGTATCACAATGATAAAAAGTTAATTCTTTTCCTAAAATTTATTATCCACCCTTGTCGAGGAACTTGAATTTTATCTCGAATGTGCCAGTGAAATAATTTTCATTCCATTCGATCTGAATGGATAAGGAGCAGTGATGTGTTATTTATTTGTTTAATTAATTTGTTACATAATAATAATATGATAATAATAATTTCCAATTCTTACGGTAACACACGGTTTAATGTATCAAATGTTGCGAACTCGTTAATCTCCTGCTTATTGCCGATCGTGTACGTAGTGCGTAGATTTTCCACCTTTCGCCTTTTTACAATCAAGCTACGCTTTGCAATTGTTGCGTACACGTTCGAATTCGAGGGAACCGCTTTCAGTACAATCAGCTGGCCACTAAAGTTACTGGATAATAGGAGAGTATCGAGAATACCTAGTGTTTCTTTTGTTTCCTAGTTAAATTCCGCGCGTGTATTCACTCAGTTGCAAAATTCATGCAATTAACAATACGAAAATCGAGTGACGTTTAATTCAACGTACATCTTTCGCAAAATATATATGTATATATATCTTCACGTTTTGTCTGCAACTGAGCGTACACAAAATAAATAACTTTAAAAACAACAAATAATTTTTGTGCATCGACTCGAGTAACCGAGCTTGCATTATTTCTTGAACATTTCGATTCATTACGATTGCCTCTTAATTTTTCACGATTACAGCTTCTCGATTCATATAATATATTTTATGTAAATTTTCGCGGATACGTTCGTGCCGGCGCGAAAACTTTTTTTTTTCTTTTCTTTTCTTTTTTTTTCCGTAACGACGGCGGTGCTGCAGCTCGGTCGACCAACGCGCGGTTTCTACTTTCCCAATCCTAAAATTTACCAGTCTCCGGTTATGTTTGATGCACCATTATATTTCTGATTACGGTAGGTTAGTTGCATCTATGACGTCACGAAAGTCGTAAACACGTCGATCCTCGTGAATAATACGTACTTCGTTTCGTTATGCTACCAGTGACGTCATTTGCGCGCTATATCACCACGTGATCGATCTTTCTCGGCAGATGGCGGCTAAAATGGCCGCGTTTTGTCTATCGACACCTTCTCACATGTACATTTAAATCAAGTATAATTCACGTAAATTTACAATTTACGTCTAACACGTGACTCTGTAAATTAATTGCAAAATATTCTGCTATTTATGCTAAAATATTCATTATTTTCTGCTCTGCATAGTTAATTGCATTGACTAAAATAAACGAAAATAACTTTGTACCATTACCTGGTCGAATTCCAATGATTATGATGAACATTTGACGAGGCTTGATTCCATGTCGAGCACAGGCGAGGGTTATCAAGTTGCAAATTGAATGGAGATAAGACCTGGCCGTCGAGAGATAACGGAGCTGATAAAGTCGGGACCGAGGATACTTTTTACAACAGAGTAATAGAATTGACCGAGGTTCGTTCTCGTTTGATTGTTTACGCCACGATTATAATTGTCGTTGATATTTTATTTGCGGTGTGTTACAAAAATCGATAACAAGAAGACACATGATCATTCGTTTCTATAATTTTTATAACGCTTTTATAACAAAGTAGTTAACGCAAACGAGCAAAAATATTGAACTTGGTATTATTACCGTTAAATAATGCGCAATACGTTAATGATTACATATTATGAATATAATAGGTAAATGTAAGAGAGATAGATATAAATAGAATAAAATGAATATAGATAAATAAATAAATGCAATAGATATAAATATAAGATAGATAGATGTGAATAAAATAAATAGATAAAATCGAACAAAGAGAAGAAAAATTTTTTTATAAAAATTTAAAGTTCTAATATAATTGAAAATTAATTTTTCAAGAAGAAAAAGAATAAATCAATTTTTGATAAGGATATCGTACATTACACTAAACATACGAATGAACACTTAGGATTTTATATATATATATATATATATATGTGTGTGTATGTATTTACAAGATAATTATAAACATTGTAATATTGGAATAATTGTTATAAAATTTGTCATTGAAAACATTAACGCAATTGTTAATTCGAAATCGTGGATTGCGATACGTATCTTGGAAAGAAATCAGTCATAATTACAAAAGTAATTTTTTCAACAAAATAGGAATCTGATAGAGTGAACGCGAATAACACAAAGTTTAACTCCTTCCTCTCAATGTCGTTTCTGTAATAAGTACGTAGTGTAGATATTTATCACTCTTAATCTAATTAATCTAATTCTTTAAATTTTAATATATAGCTCTCTCTATCAAAGTGTAAATTCTAAAAACGTGACGTTTACAATCCTCTCGGTAACAATTTTCGAAATCTGATTCCCATTATGAACGGATCCCATTATAATTAACCCTAGATTTTGTATGTGCGTAATTTAGCTCAGGTTCAGTACATATTGCGCCATTTTCTTTCTTTTCCAGAATCGTAACTTGAGAATTCAATAATGGCTCATCCTGTACATTTGTCAACGATACCGTTTCAGAATTTCTGTCGTTAACGTGTAAAGCTAATTGTCGTGTAAAATATTCAAAAACTGTTCAACAATATATTAGTGTATATTTTAAACGCTGGAACTACCAAGGACTAAAGCATAGAATTTCCATCGGAGAGATATTAAATTGAAGAAAATAGAAAAACTGTGAAATACAATGGAATGTACAAGATTTTATTTATGTATTTCATAAAAAAAAAA